ACTCACCCCTCTCATCTCTCTCCCCAGCTCACTCACCCCTCTCTTCTCTCATCTTTCTCCCCAGCTCACTCACCCCTCTCATCTCTCCCCAGCTCACTCACCCTCTCCCATCTCTCCCCAGCTCACTCACCCCTCTCATCTCTCCCCAGCTCACTCACCCTCTCCCATCTCTCCCCAGCTCACTCACCCCTCTCATCTCTCTCCCCAGCTCACTCACCCCTCTCATCTCTCTCCCAGCTCACTCACCCCTCTCATCTCTCATCTCTCTCCCAGCTCACTCACCCTCTCCCATCTCTCTCCCCAGCTCACTCACCCTCTCCCATCTCTCTCCAGCTCACTCACCCCTCTCATCTCTCTCCCCAGCTCACTCACCCCTCCCATCTCTCTCCCCAGCTCACTCACCCCTCCCATCTCTCTCCCCAGGTCACTCACCCCCTCCCATCTCATCTCTCTCCCCAGCTCACTCACCCCTCCCATCTCCCTCCCCAGCTCACTCACCCCTCTCTTCTCTCATCTTTCTCCTAGCTCACCCACCCCTCTCATCTCTCTCCCAGCTCACTCACCCCTCTCATCTCTCATCTTTCTCCCAGCTCCCTCACCCCCTCCCATCTCTCTCCCCAGCTCACTCCCCCTCTCCCATCTCTCTCCAGCTCACTCACCCCTCTCATCTCTCTCCCCAGCTCACTCACCCCTCCCATCTCTCTCCCCAGCTCACTCACCCCTCCCATCTCTCTCCCCAGGTCACTCACCCCCTCCCATCTCATCTCTCTCCCCAGCTCACTCACCCCTCTCATCTCTCTCCCCAGCTCACTCACCCCTCTCATCTCTCTCCCCAGCTCACTCACCTCTCTCATCTCTATCCCCAGCTCACTCACCTCTCTCATCTCTCTCCCCAGCTCACTCACCTCTCTCATCTCTCCCCAGCTCACTCACCCCTCTCATCTCTCTCCCCAGCTCACTCACCCTCTCCCATCTCTCCCCAGCTCACTCACCCCTCTCATCTCTCTCCCCAGCTCACTCACCCCCCTCTCATCTCTCTCTCCAGCTCACTCACCCCTCTCATCTCTCTCCCCAGTTCACTCACCCCTCTCATCTCTCTCCGCAGCTCACTCACCCCTCTCATCTCTCTCCCCAGTTCACTCACCCCTATCATCTCTCTCCCCAGCTCACTCACCCCTATCATCTCTCTCCCCAGTTCACTCACCCCTATCATCTCTCTCCCCAGTTCACTCACCCTCTCCCATCTCTCATCTCTCTCCCCAGCTCACTCACCCCTCCCATCTCTCTCCCCAGGTCACTCACCCTCTCTCATCTCTCTCCCCAGCTCACTCACCCCTCTCATCTCTCCCCAGCTCACTCACCCCTCTCATCTCTCTCCCCAGCTCACTCACCCCTCTCATCTCTCCCCAGCTCACTCACCCTCTCATCTCTCTCCTAGCTCACTCACCCCTCTCATCTCTCTCCCCAGCTCACTCACCCTCTCCCATCTCTCTCCCCGGCTCACTCACCCTCTCCCATCTCTCTCCCCAGCTCACTCACCCTATCATCTCTCTCCCCAGCTCACTCATCCCTATCATCTCTCTCCCCAGCTCACTCACCCCTCTCATCTCTCCCCAGCTCACTCACCCCTCTCATCTCTCCCCAGCTCACTCACCCTCTCATCTCTCTCCACAGCTCACTCACCCCTCTCATCTCTCCCCAGCTCACTCACCCTCTCATCTCTCTCCTAGCTCACTCACCCCTCTCATCTCTCCCCAGCTCACTCACCCTCTCCCATCTCTCCCCAGCTCACTCACCCCTCTCATCTCTCTCCCCAGCTCACTCACCCCTCTCATCTCTCATCTCTCTCCCAGCTCACTCACCCTCTCCCATCTCTCTCCCCAGCTCACTCACCCTCTCCCATCTCTCTCCAGCTCACTCGCCCCTCTCATCTCTCTCCCCAGCTCACTCACCCCTCCCATCTCTCTCCCCAGCTCACTCACCGCTCTCATCTCTCTCCCCAGCTCACTCACCCCTATCATCTCTCTCCCCAGCTCACTCACCCTCTCCCATCTCTCATCTCAGCTCACTCACCCCTCTCATCTCTCTCCCCAGCTCACTCACCCCGTCACTCACCTCTCACTCGCCAAATCAAATCACTCACACGCCCTCACTCCCCCTCCTCCAGTGCACTGTCACTATACAGTACATCTCTACTTTCTGACTCTACTTCACACTCTCAGTCTGTACCTTTCTTTCGTTCACTCATTCACCCTCACTCTGTCACTGTCTCTGACCTCTCGTTCTACCTCGCTCACTCACTCACTCTTGCTCAGCTCTCCCCCAGCTCACATTGTCACTTGTTCGCTCTCCAATTCCCCAGCTCCCTGCCTCTCTTGCCCTCTCTTCCACTCCCCCAGCTCACACACTCACGCGCCCTCTCATTCTCTCCAGCTTAAACGCTCTCTCACCTTCCCTCCGACACTCACTCGCACTCTCTCACCCTCTCCCAGTTCACACTTACTCTCATCTCCCTCTCTCCTCCGCTAAAGCTCACTCATCCTCTGACTTCCTCCAGCTCACTCACTCTCCATAGCGCACTCTATCACTCTCTCTCACTCTCTCCTGCTCACTGCCTCTGTCGCTCATCTCTCACTCCCCCCAGGTCACACTCTCATCTCTCACTACCTCTCACTCATCTCTCCACAACTCACACACTCACTCTCCCCCGGCTCCCTGCCTCTCTCTCTCACTCTCCCCAGCTCACACTCTCACTCGCCCTCTCTCTCGCTCACTCTCCCCTGGCTCCCTGCCTCTCTCGCTCGAGCATCCGGGGGAGACGAGACAATCAATCACGCCGCTGTCGTGGCCCGTGCCGTCACCCGCGCGGGATGGGTCAGCGATTGGCGGGCGGCAGATAGCGCGGCGGACAACAGCGTTGGGGGGGTGGGCGGGCGGGCGCGAGGGCAGTCGCGGGTGGCGGGTGGACACCGCAATTAAAGTTAAAAACCCGCGAGACGCGCTCCCTCTCTCGGAAAAGGTTATCGGGCGCCAGCGTAACGGAGGGCCGCCGCTGGCCGCTGCCTCGCACCGATTGCGCCGCACCGGCGTCGGGCAAGGGGCTCGACAGCAAAGGGGAAAATGTAAAGAACGCGCCGGTCTCGCTCGGTGGGCCTTCACGAAGGAAAGAAAAACACGTTCTCAAATTATATTCCCATTGTGCCGTCTGCATCAAGCCGCGAGACAACAAGCCGCCCCCCGCCCGGAAACCGTCGCGCTGCGTCGGCGACCGGCACTGGAAGTGCAAGCCACAGGAGTCGCGCTTCTGTGGCGTCTGCGTGGTGCAGTGGTCACGTTCGTGCCTCACAGCGAGAAGGGCTGCGAGGTGTCTTTTGGGTGCAGTTTTTATGTCTTCCCTCTAATCTGCATGGGTTTCCTCCAGGTTCTCTGGGTTCTTCGAATATATCAAAGTAAAATACACGTTGAACTTAATAAAACAAAAATATACGATGGAACTGATAAATTGCCAAACATTCCAATGCTCTAGAGTGGCAACATCTGTGCTGTAAATTCCATATTCCTGTGGCAGTGCCTGGACTACCCCACAGGGAAACTCTACTCCATTTCAGTTCCGCCGTCATGTTTACACCTACTAATGAATTTGTGTGGCTCGTATACGATATCAGAAAAGGGCCGAATAGGCCCTGTATTATAAACATCCGGTATCGGCGCAAGGAGCACTCTCCTCCCAGACTTTTAAGCAAAGGCGAGCGCCCCCACATTGCCCATCGCCGACCCCCAAGGTCACCGGAATGCCGACACAAGCGAGATGAGCCCGCCAAAAAAAAATGTTCTGCCTCTAAGATTGTTTTTTTATATATGCAGGTTCCGCTACTCTCCTCTATTCAGGGACTTTACAGGTGACTGGGTCTAAAAGTTTGCATGCATTGTCCAGGTTTGGCACAAACGCACGCTAACAATAACGCTCTTCTAGTCCTCCCAAGCCCCGAGCATCAATCAGATGCTGCTCGGTACCTGCAGCGTCAGGATTTTTTTTTTTACCGTGCGAGTGGGGAGCCGGGCGAGTGGGCGGGTGAGTGGGCGGGTGAGCGGGCGGATAGATGACGGAGGTTATAGAGAGTTCCAGGAAGAGGAAGGCATCATCGCGGTCAACTCTTTGACGCGACGCCCGCCACACTTTGTTGCGGCACCAGCCTCATTTTTATTGGCGACGAGCAGAGCAGGACCGGTTTCAAGTGTCTCCCTGCTTGAACGTTCCAACCACTTTTCCGCAATGTTACTGCCGTTCGCTGACCAGCGCTCTGTGATCCCAATGACCTCGAGGTTCGAATCACGGCCACGACAAAGGTCGGTGGCGAGCGGTATCCGAACCAGTCGCGGGCGCCCACACCCCTTTTTACCAACCCTGCACTGACCAAACATGAAGTACGGTCAACTCTCACGACTGACGTGGCATGGGCCTTTACCCATTTGTGGAGTAAAAAAAAGGTCTGTAAATTATGTTTTATTATTTGTTTATTTATCCATATGCGGTTGAAAATATGCAATTTCCATTCGTTGTCAGAACCACCAATGGAGCCGCAATGCTCATATGAAAACAGAATACTTGGCCAGAAAATTGACCAGAGAGCTCCATTCAAAGTTGTATCTTTTTTTATTTGCTGTAAATGTAGCTCACTCGTGGCTGGAAGGGTCATGTGATCCCATTACAGCACGTACGAATCAAAAATAATTTTACACTTATGGTTCGACGCAGGTATAGCGAGCGTAAGAATGGAAGTGACTTTATAGGCCGTTGCATGCCTAATTTCTCTACCCAGTTTGACTCCCCAAGCATTCACCAAAAAAATATTTTCCATTTGGTCAAATGACAGCTAATTCGCAACAATGGGCAGTGGATCACTATCTCAACAGTTGTAAGCTTGGCGCTCACAACAGCTGTCGGAAGGACAACTCGGCCGGCCGGTGTGCGCGTGGGCGAGTACGTGCGTGCCAAGTACCTGGGGCCTTCTCCTCCACCATGTCGCAGGCGCACAGGAGGTCCGCGTCTATCGACACCGGCTTCTGCTTGAAGAGGAACTTGGTAGTGGTCTTCTGTGGGGTCACGGGGTCAATCTCCACCTTGTCACCCGATATACCTGCCCGGCACACGCGACGCCGCAGACGTAAGCACAGGCTGTTAGCTGGAGGACAACCGAGCTGCTGGCAAGCACCCGTTAAAGCCGTATGAGAAAATCAAAATTTTGAATCTTTATACTGGAGGAATCCGATGAGCTATGAAGCTCTTTTTCACAGATACTCTAAAACGCGTGTGTATTCTAAATGCGGAGGGAAAAACCGGAGGACCCAGAGAAAAATCCATGCGACCACCTCCAAATATACAGGCGTCGGGGTCGGGATCGAACCGACGGACTCCTGCAAGCCAGGCGAGGGAGTTAACGTCTCGTCACCGCGGCTCCCTAACACGCGGCTGGAAGGGATGACGTGGCAGATGGGAGAAATTGGGCGATGGAATGGTTGTGAAAGGAGATAGCATGGCCGAGAGAATGACCACAGTGGAGACAGAGCAATGAGATCCGAATATTTATACTGGAGGAATATGATGATGTCACAGATGTCCAGTGGGGCCATGTCAGAACATTTCAGCAAACAATACAAAAATACAATAGGCGTGCCAAGTATAGTAAATGTAAAGAAACCGCTTACAAAAAAATATGCAACTAAATCAAATTTTTGATCTTACCAGGTAAAGACCACACAGCTATTAGCTTATATTTCAGAATTGACTAAGCCACACAAATGACAGCTCAACGAAGTGGTTTATGACGTGGAAATTTATAGCAGCAAAAAATACTACTCGAAATGCATCTTTCTAAATGTGGAGGGAAAAAGCAGAGGACCCGGAGAAAAATCCACGTGACCACGGGTAGAACGTGCAAACTCCCAATATACAGGTGTCGGCATCGAATCCACAACATTCAACATACCAGGCGAGGAAGTTAACATCTAGCACGTTTCTCATGCACGGGCGTGGGGTGGATTGTGGCATAGGCAGGACGAGGGATATGCCGATGGCGTGGGACAGGCATCCGTCCGACAGTGTCGAGCGTGTGGCTGCTGATTCTGTTTTGTCAAGAAGCCATTGGAGAGGTCACAGTAAGGTGAGGCCTATTGGTCACGTAAACGAAGGCGTGATCTATTTTGTCCAGTCGCAGCCATGTCCAATTCTCACACTTGAGGAAGCGTTTCAGGATGTGGCATAAGTGGGACGACATTCTTTGGGAAATGCCATTTGCTGGAAAATAAAAACTAAATAAATCCCACGTATAAATAAAGAGAGACCTGTGTTTTTTGTGATATACGTTGATCGACATCCTTTGTAAATCCAGTCAATGTCTTCAATATCCAAAGGAAGCTTAAACTCGAAAAACGCAGTACTGCTCTTGCTGGTTACATACCCAGTCTCAATGCTGTTTGGCTGCCTGACACAACTTTGAACCTTCATTTCTAAAAGACTTTATAATTGCAGGTGCACTCCAGGGACATCACGGCAGGGTGCCCGACTAATTTTTAAATCTCTCTCTGGCTATTAAGAGTCTGAAACTGACATCCAAGAGCCCAGGCTATACAGCCCAAGTATGTATCTCGAAGATTAAACATGTTCCTTTTTTTATTGCATATTCCTTTACGGCGCTGTCTGCCCAACGCCCCACCGTCTATACGGTTCAACACAGGCATTCCTAGATGCAGCAGCTGCTACTTTCTCCCCCACCAATCTCCTCCTCTTCCAACCTCAAACCCAGCGTGTAATGTCCCAACGTGATCTGATGAGATGTGTCAGCGAGCAGCGTGGCAAATCTCGGTAAACTCAACCGGCAATCAGTCGGCCAGGCGGCACGGGGAATTACTGGTCGCACTCTCTCTCTCGCCCGCCCACCCACCCACCAACTCGCTCGCGAACGAACACACACACAAAGGGCCGCCCTCACCGCCGTGCGCGGCTGGAGCACGCTCCTCTGCCTCCCAAACGAGAAGTGGCAGCACAAGCAGCACTCCATTTACCAGCGGGGATTATGTTGGAGCGTCGTGGGAAAGGGCGGGGGGGGGGTATGGAGCAGGGGGAGCTATCATTGCAGCGGGCAGGGGAGGGGGCGAAGGGGACTGCGAGGCAGGAGAGAGTAAAGGGCTTGGAACATTACACGGCCTGCGTGCATCCGTGCTAGCGTTTGCATCGGATGTGCGTTTTCCACCCTCTACCCCAGCAGAGGCAATTTACAACGGAATGCGGATTAATAAAGCATCTACGTGTGACTATGTCTTGAGACTGTGGTACAAATTAGGCAAATGGGGCCCCGTGTAAAGAATTTGAACGGGCTTTTTTTTATTCACGAGAGGAAGGAAAGAGGGGTGTAACAACTCGACAGGCTCGAGAAGGGACTGGGTTGACATTATTGTCAAGAATGTAGGGCACCCATACCTAACAGAGAGGATTCTTTCCTTTAGACATCTGGTGGTTCTCGGCAGCATTGGTTTAATGAAGCCCGACTCGGCTGACGAGACAATGAGTGGACAAACCAGTGCAGAGTTGGCTCGCAATAAACCGCCGCTGCTGAAATACTGCACTCCAAGAAGGTCATGTGGCTGACGGGATGTGTTAAAAAAAGAAAGTTGCATTTTTTTGTGTTTCGTGTGGGCGTATTTTCCGCTTATTTTGTTGTTGTAGGGGTGTTAGCCGCGGCTCAGCGGTACACACGCGACACTACGAATCCCGAATACACGAGTTCTATTCCTGGCCGTGGCCAAGCGGCGAGCGATATCTACACCAGCGGTTGGCTCCCTGCCCACCCCCGCTGCACCAACACACGCTGACCGGCGTGGTGCATGTTAGCCAACCAACGCAGCTTGCAGAGGCTGTTCTCATCCAGCAGTGGATGGATCAAGTGCTGTAAATGTTTTCACGGAATAGTACGAGAGATATTCCTTGGCACGGTCGTATGCCGAGCCGAAGAGGGAGAGTGATGAGCCTATACGTCAACAATAAGGGAGTCTAGGCATGGAAGCCAGAGGAAGGGGATTTCAGACAGGGCAGTAGTATAGAAAGTGCAACCTTCCACTAAGAAGTGGCAAGACAGAACAATCTTCTTGGTTCTTTCGGTAAAGTCACGTAGAAGGGAAGTAATAAAATAATAAAAATAAAACATAATAAAATAATTCTCACGACGTTTCGGCCACAACGCAAGCAGCCGTCCCCGAAGACAGGTCTGTCGGGGAGACAGCGTCTGAATGACAGACCTGGTCTTCACCTGGGGACGGCTGCTTGCGTTGTGGCCGAAACGTCGTGAGAATTATTTTATTATGTTTTATTTTTATTATTTTATTACTTCCCTTCTACGTGACTTTACCGAAAGAACCAAGAAGATGAATCCCTGCAGTCACGAAAGCTTTAAATCGAAATTTAAGACAGAACAATGTCACATTACAAACCAATCACTCCTAATATCAAGGTGGACCCATGGGCTTTGCTTATCCTACCAACGGTAGCAAGTACTCCTACCAGACGTCATCCGTGGCTCCCAGTAGTTTGGTCGTTTAATTTATAGTTTTTTCAAATGTCATCCTGTAGAGTTGGGTTGGCCGATTATTATGAAAACTGTATATGATGGTTATGTCTTGATTTGAAGCTTTCGTGACCGCAGGAATCCATATACGCTCTGGTTTTTTCGGGAAAAGTCACGTAGATAGAAAAAATAACAAAAGAAAACACGACGTTTCGGTCGCAACACAAGCAGTCCGTCTTCAGGTGATGATGGTTATGTTTGTGTGCTCATTGGTGACTGGGATAAAGCGATGAATTCACTACGTTTGAGAACCTGGTGTAATCACAGGTGGCTTAAAACAGATATAAAATCCAGAATTTCATCAGGTGCTACGATTTGATCATTCAGCCTGACACGCCACCATTTCCAAAATGCATTTACATTTAAGTGAAAAAATATTACACGCACGTACACGAAACCTGAAAGCAAACACTACAACTCACAATAATTCTAATTTGCGTTCTACACCTTGACCCTGTCCAAATATCCCCGTGAGGGTTTATTTATTTATTATTGTTTAGCACAGCACCGCGGCGAGAGCGGTGCAAGGCATCCGACCGGAAAAAATAATGATAGTAGTGTAATGAAACAAAAAAACAATAAAACAAGTCGCGGGACTGCAGGCAGGAAACAAATAAGTGGCGGTCAAGACATGGGGAGGTGAAGCCCTTTTGTTTTATTTTCCGGCTCACGGAGCGGCTGCCCCATTAGTCAGAACCTGGCCACCAGCGCCAAGGTCACCAAAGGCCCATCATTCAGCGGACATCAGTAGGGAGGGGGGGGAAATCCGCGGAAGCCGCCGAGCCGCGCCCCCCCCCTCCCCGCCGCGGCTCAGAGCTACTCAATCAATCGATGTCGTCTTTAACTTGGCCAGGTGAGAGCCAATTTAGAGTCATTACGTCCCTTTGCAAATAAACACTTTCGGGATTGCGCTGGCGGTGGTGTAGAAAATCAACCCGAAAAGGGTGGATCACTGCGCTCGAGAACAAACAGGGCAAGCTCGTAGCCGTGCGACATTAAAGAGGCCAGTGCGTTTTCAGGGAAAGCTGTAGTCTGCCTACGTTTAGTGAACTAAATTATCAATGCAGCATTGGTTTATTGTTGAAAATAAAATGTAGAATTCGGTTGTTTTATTTATAAAGGCCATTGCCTATAACATCTGCTTGCTAAATAAACAAATAAAATGCCCCAACTGTGCTTCCAAATCCCAGGTTTTTCAAAGCAGCAGCATATTGGAAAATGCGGTCTCAAACTATAAACCACAATCATCTTTCACCCCCCCCCACCCCCTTCTCAAAAGGGGTCACGAAGCTCGTTTCACATTACGCAGTCACATCCAGCCGGGCGGCGCAGTGCTTCGTGCGCATTGATGTACATCGTTGAATTCGCGCAATTTGAAGTCCTATTTGGAGGGGTGTCCTCTAGTCCTCGCAATGATACTATCTTGGGAGAGATACTGGTTCTCGCAATGATACTATCTTGGGAGAGATACTGGTTCTCGCAATGATACCATCTTGGGGGAGGAACTGGTCCTCGCAATGATACCATCTTGGGGGAGGAACTGGTCCTTGCAATGAAACCATCTTGGGAGAGATACTGGTTCTCGCAATGATACCATCTTGGGGGAGATACTGGTTCTCAGCGATGATACCATCTTGGGGGAGATACTGGTCCTTGCAATGATACCATCTTGGGGGAGAACTGGTCCTCGCGATGATACCATCTTGGGGGAGGAACTGGTCTTTGCAATGATACCATCTTGGGAGAGATACTGGTTCTCGCAATGATACCATCTTGGGGGAGATACTGGTTCTCGCGATGATACCATCTTGGGGGAGGAACTGGTCTTTGCAATGATACCATCTTGGGAGAGATACTGGTTCTCGCAATGATACCATCTTGGGGGAGATACTGGTTCTCGCGATGATACCATCTTGGGGGAGATACTGGTCCTCGCTATGATACCATCTTGGGGGAGGAACTGGTCCTCGCAATGAGAATGTGGAATCTACAACACCGACTCGGGGCCTACCGAACGGAGACCGGCGCCAGACCAATGCTCGTGGGGACCATCGAGAGTGAGACAAGCAAACAGAGACACTTTGACCTTGGCACACACCTCTATTGTATGGTAGAATATCAGAGAGAGAGAGAGAGAGAAAATAAACATTATATTGTACATTATATATATAGGTGTCCTTTCGATTAACACTGCCGTAAGTATAAAAAAACGGCTACCACTATTCAGAGATCAACATCAACTTCGGCAAACCATCAGCTGCTGCGAAGGAGAAAACCGAACGGTGACCACGCCACGACACCGTGAGATTGAGATTGAAAAGATTGTCTCGACTGAAAACGAATTTCTTTACAACTGCTTGTTGTTGTGTTTGTCGTCCGTGCCCCACACCTCCAAGTAGCACGGCCAGCTACGTACGGTGCCAAAAGAAGTTTGACATATGTACGTATAACAATACCAAGGCCGTAATTATAATATAGATTGGGGGGGGACACAATTCCCCCAATATTCAAATGTGCTCAAAATGTCTCCCCCAATATATTGCTATAAAAAATATGCTATGGTATGTAAATAAAAACAATTTGCTAAACCTTGGCAACAATATCTGGACTTGTCTTGATAGAAATCAATGTGTAGATTTTTGTTTATATGATTGTGGTTATGGTTGTACTTTATTAATCCATAATCTCTGCCATAACAATGAAACAAGAAATGGTAAAAAAGTAAAAACAGAGCAATGTAATGCAAGACACTATTAGACATTGTCCATCCCATGTGTTAGTGAATTTTGAAATATTTTTGGCAGGAAATTCTTTTTCAAATTTAGATTTTTTTTTTCTGGGTTGGGACCCCCAGACCCTCTGGAAGATTTGGTCCCCCCCAATGTTGACTCCATGGCTACGGCCTTGACGTATACACGCGAGCACAGGCAGGGCCACATGGTGTCTCCGCGCGCCTCCCGTTGGGGGCACCGCGACAGCGCGGCAACGGCACGACCGGACGGTCCCCCGCCTAACGCTCCTGAGCGAACGCGATGATTACCATCGCCACCATTAGCGTTTTATTATCGCCGCCGCCGAACGTGCCGCTGCACGCTCAGCACTTCCGCCGAAGACGCCGTCGACCTATCCAGCGGTGTCTGCAGGGAGGGCTCGCCCGGCCCCTAAATCACGCGGCTCCTTCGCGTCCCCCCGCTCCTAATGAAGCGCAACCTTTGCGGCGGGTGGCGGACGCATTACTCACGGGGAGCGCGGCACGGAGGCCGAGGGGCAACTCCCCTCTCTTCAGGTGTCCCAGCACTTTCTTAGTCCCCACCCCCCCACCCCCCCCCCCCCCGTTAGCAGGGGGCGACGTTCGTGTCAACGCGCGAACACTTCACTGTGTGCGCGCGCATTCGAGTCGTCGCAGTGTACCGGAGAGCGCACTGCGCCACGAACCCGGCGACTGAGCCCAGTTCCTAGGCCATGGCTAACATCAGGGATCAAGTGATATCTGAATTGGTCCTAGGCCTTCCGTAGGTCAAATCAGGGCTTAAATGAGTGCCTGGTGAGGTGTGAAGACATCAGCACTGGGGCAACAAAGGTGGACACGCATGGTTCTGGTCACACCACCCCATCGTGTGCAGTGCTGCCCTTTATAAATTCTCGCAAACAGTACATGGCCGAACAGTCCATATAAGCTATATAGGGGATCTTGGTGTGTATGTGTGTACATGTGTGAGCCATTGTGTGTTTGTGTATCTGTGTATGCATGTGAATGAGCGGTAGTGTAGCGGGTCAGCATGCTGCGCTACAAACCCGGCAACCCAAGTTCAATTCCCACTCACTGCCAACACCAGTGATCATTATCTGAACCGGTCCTGGGCCTCACCTAGGTAGACTCAGCCTCAAATGAGTACCTGGTGTGGTGCGTTAAAACATCGCCACTAGGGAGACTGAGGCAGCCGGGCGCGGTGCTGGCCACCCACCCCCTCGTGTGCAGTCCCGGCATTCATAGGTGCTGCTCGCTAACAGAACTCTCCCCAACAGTATGTTAAGACTATACGGGGGATCTTTGTCTTTGTATATATATAAATATACACGTGTGTCGTGTGTGTGCTCATGCGTGTATGTTTGTGTATGTGTACGCATGTGCACGCTATGATCCCAGAGAGCTAGTTCCAATGCCGGCCATGCACATCATCGGTGGCGAGTGGGTACCTGCACCTGTCATTGGCCTCCCCGAGGTTGCAGCCACCTCACATCACTTCCTGTTGGTGCTGTGTATAAACAACTGTAATGGGGACAAAGGTGGCTGGGTGTAGTGATGGCCAAGCCGCACCCCAGTGTCCCGTGCCACGAGGAGAACGTGCACAAAGAGCCTAGAAATACTCTTTTTTATTTTAACCAGGTAAGGGCCCAAAGAGCTTTATAGCTCTTCTTTAGAGATACTCAAATCGCATGTTTCTAAATAGAGGGAAACACTGGAGGACCCGGGTTAAAAAATCTACGCTACCACAGGGAGAACATGCAAACTCCAAATATACAGCAGGCGTCAAGGTCCGGATCGAAACTACGACCTCCTGTATACCAGGCCAGGTAGTTAACATCTCGCCACCGCGGCGCTACGTTTTGTCTTTGCGCGTTTACACGTAACTCTGGATGCATGTGCCTTTGTGTACAGGATGTTGGTGCAGCGATCGGCACACGGCACTACAATTTTAGCAACCTAGATTCCATTCCTGTCCATGGTGTACAACACACATGGCCAGTTAGTATCTGAATCTAGCAGTGGATTACTCTGTCTGCTCACCCTAAAACTGAATACCTGGTGCAGTGATTTGCACATCAACGGTGGGGATAAAAAGGTGGCCAGGTATAGTTCTGGCCAAACTACCACCCCCCCCCCTTCATTTGCTATGCCAGCTCTAATTAGCCACTAATGGAACATGCACTGCAAGTCCATTAACCCAAATTAGAGGTCTTTGTCTTTATGAATACGTACATTTGCTAGAGGGAACCTTGTTCTGCAGGTAATTTCAAAACTAAATCCCCATGTGTTCCCACCGTTATGGCTTAAGACCTTGGCAGAAATCTTTGAGGTGCTTTGCGTGACTTAAAACTTGGGAATTTCTTGATGCAGGTGGGCACGCAGAGTGCAGCGGAACCGATTGGCTACTGGTCAGTGTCCTTGAGTCACCGAGTCCAGGGTTTGGCGGCTTTCCTTCAAACCAAGCCTTTGCATCACGATGATCCTTGTGCTGCGTGCAGTGGGCATCACTTTGAAACGAGCAGCAGGCTGTCTAATACATCAGTGGGAGAGAGATGAAGGGGCAGTAGCCAGTGGTACATGATGGGATTGTCCAACGGAAGGTACATTTTTATTAACACTGAAATGATGTCAGGGCAACACCAGTGGTGCATTCTGGGATTATTACACACGGTGGGGAAGCACTCAAAGGAGGACGATGATGAATGGGGGCTGCCGGGGTGCAGCACTAGCAGTGCATTTTGGGATTATTAAATGTGGGACCAGGCACATAAGAACAGAGATTGCTACTGCAGAGGACAGAGATGGCAACAGCAACAAGCCATGCATTCTGGGATATTTAAACCGAGAAAAGCCTCGCATAAATCATGGCCTTACCAGTGCCACTTGCTAAGTGACTGAATATCAGGAAGAGCTTCAAGCAAAGAAGTAAAATAGGCAATGGACACGTGCACAGAGACTCCACAATCTTTTTTTTTACTGACCCTCCACAACCAACGCTCAAAATTTGCTCCATCACACGGTCTTACCGTTGCACTTCGCCAGCCCCTAACCCAAATCGACGGGCTGGAGTGGCGAGGCGGTGGGGGTGGGAACAGAGGCGCGTGGGGGCACACAGACTCACCGAGCTGCACGTCCGTGTGGATGCGTAACCTGTGTACGCAGCTCACACGGTACGACTTGTACTGGTGGCTGTTGAGAGACACCTGCACCGTGGCCAGCTCCAGCGGCAACTCGTCCTCCAGGCTCTCGTTGCCGCGTGAACCTGCGCAGCGGCGGATGACGCAGGCGCGCATTAATAAACCCGAGGTGGCCCTTGCGAAAGAGGCGATGCTATTTCGTGTCTCAATAGCTCACCATTTAATCTTGTGGATGAGCAAAGGATGCGAGATTTAATGCCGCGCGCGCGTTTCCCGTGGCTTATACGCGCACAGCTCAAAATTACGGCCACACGGCTTGTGATAGATGCACGCAAGACGATTGTATGCAACACATGCCAAGCACAGGCACCGCGCGCATTTGTGCGCGTATGACAGATGTATGCGACAAAGACAAAAAGATCCCCTGTACAGCCTTAACACGACTGTTGGAGGGCAAGAGCTGTTAGCGAGTAGCACCTATGAAGGCCGGCACGGCACACGAAGGGGTGGGTGGCCAGCACCACGGCCGCCTTCGTCTCCCCGGTGGCGATGTTTACACATCGTACCAGGTACTCATGAGGCCGAGTCGACCTAGGGGAAGCCCAGGACCGGTTCAGATAATCTCCACTGGTGTTCGTAGACCAGTGCGTTAACCGCGACACCAACGTATGCGACGACACACGCGCACGCACACACACACATTTTCCACAGCTATTCATTATGCGCACACAGAACATATAACAAACACGCCGCCCCAAATGAAAATGACACATTTACACATCAGGCACGCAAGTGAAGGTGCATGCGCGATACACAGCAAGCGTACACACCACATGTAGTGCACCGCATGACACACTCAAACAACACGTGCCACGCTCTCTCATCTCGCACACCACCCTATACCACACAGATACAACAACAGCCACCATTCGCCACTTGGTGGTAGTGACGTTACCAACAGCACCTGTGCCAGGGTAGGTGAACAATGAAGCCCCTCAGTGTCGAAGGGTTGTTGTCAGGAGGTCATGGGACAGACGCAGGTGCCATGAGATGACTGATAGATGCACCCCACCTGTGCTCCCCACTGTGCCAACTTGTTTTGTTTAATCTGCCCGGCCCACCACTCGTTGTGAGCATCGCTCCTCCGCCCTATGTTGTTGCTGGAGGGCGGCTGCCTCCAACTGCCCAGTAGCGTCCTTCACGAGCCTCTTCCTCCACAGAGGCCGATCTTGACACCGTTGGCTCCAGTCATCGGCAAGTCCATTCGGCTCCACATCTTCCTGTACCGCATCAACCAGTCTCTACTCTAACCTGTGCTGTGCCCATCAGCCCCCTCTATCGTGTCAAACAGAAGCTGTTTGGGCATGCTGTGGCTGGGGGTGCGGGCTTCGCGTTTTGCGCCGGGCCAGGTGCGCGGTTGACGTAACGCGGAGCGGCAGAGGCTCTCGCTGGCAAGAGGTCGAGGGGGCAGATCCGAGCGTTATGGGTGAACAGACCAGGCAAGGCGAGTGGCAGACGCACCGCCCGCTCTCTTCACGCTGCCAACTCGCTGCCTTTTAGCTTCCCGACACTCGTGGACGCCGCTGCTCTGCCTCCTGTTGTTGTTGCTGGAGGACGTGTTCCCCGAGTGATGGCTGACAGGTAGGCATGCGACGAGGCACCCTCCCTGGTGACTCAATTGTGAAGATTTGGGGTGGCAATTCGATTCCAGGTTGGCTATTATTTTCGTCTCACTGGCAAATATTGTCAATATTTGTGTTCATTTGTATAGTTTTGTTAGCATATTATACCATTAGCCCATCATTTGCATATCACCTACATAGAATAATAAATAATGGATTCTTGCACGTCAACGATACGACGAGCATACAAATCCAATTTAATTGACGAATCGACCAATCAGTGCACACCCAGAAGGAGATCCGCAGTGTCCTCTTCCACCGTCGTTTCACCGCCCCGACTCTCCGCTCCCCACCGAGATCTCACCCCATTCACTGGGACGCACTGCCCGAAATATGCGTCGAAGAAATGTCGTGCATCCGAAATTCCAACTCTCAGACAAAGCAACCGAGTGGCTGAAATCACCTCCGGGGTGAATCTCTGAACAGTTGCTCTTCATAGGCCACACGAAGGAACGGCGCTGCACGCGAGGCTGCACGCGACGCTGCACGCGACGCTGGCGGCGTGTGGCGACTCACTGTTTTCGCGCACGAGACAGAACTCCATGCTGTTCTGGGACTCGAGGCTGCTGTCGAGGTCCACGGCCACGTTGGGTGCGCTCTGCTTCTCCAGCCGATACTGAGGCCCTGCACAGGGCACACGCACGCACGCACGCGCACACACACACACACACCATGCGTTGGTTTAATACTATAGGCTTTCGCGACCGATATTCATAGAGGTTTTTTGGGTTAGATCGCGAAAATATAAATGTGTCGTTAAAACCCGCCACCACCCTACACAGCCAATTAGTAAGGTTTGTCATGTAAACAAAACATGCAATTCGTTACTAGTACAGCACACCGGTGTGCTGGAGAGTAAACCCACTACATTTCCACTTCGAGTACGACTATAAGCCAGTAATTACAACCAGCATCATCAGGCGACAGCCAGATTGTCAGTCTTAGAGGGATAAATTTGATGTTGTCACTTGTGAGCCAATCAGGTGCGCACAAAGACAAAGATCCCCCGTACAGCCTTTAACAGACTGTTGGGGCAAGTGCTGTCAGCGAGCACCTATGTAGGCCAGAACGGTACACGAGGGTGTGAGTGGCCAACACCACGCCCCGACCGCCGTTGTCTCCCCAGTACTCATTTGAGGCTGAGTTGACCTAGGGGATGCCCAGGACCGGTTTAGATAATCGTCACCGGTGTTGGTTGCGAGCGACAAACGAACTCGGACTGCTGGGATTCATAGCGCAGCGTGACAACCACAACACGACCACTCCCCAAATGCACGCACGCACGCCGAAAAGTTTCCCCCGCAGTGCGGCGGCGATCCCACAATGAGCAACAAAGACAAAGATCCCCTGTACAGCCTTCGTCGTCACAATCTTATCCAGTTCCCGCTCCATTCACCGCTCCATCTCCTTGGTGGTCCTCAACCCGGGCGCCTTTTCCGCCTTCGGCTGGCACTCCGTTGTTATTCTCGCCCCCACTGGTTACCATCACCCCCCCCCCCTTCCCAGTAACGCGTGCCCCTTCATTGCCCACATACTCCTCCGAACGGCGCCTTTAACATGCAGACGGCTTCTCATACACGTGGGTCCTGTTTCTGTCTCTCGGTGTGATTCCAAGCGTGCATCCATCCCTCCACGTTTGTTTGTGCACTTCTGAGCTCAAAGCAGCCCACCGATAGGTTGTTAATTATTTGTCAGTGCTCCACTGGCAGTGGAGAACAAGTGCAAGTAACATAAAACTTGCATTTGTCAATAATGCTGTGGGCCTTAAAAGTACAAATAATATACCACATACAAGAGGCGGCTGATTATTGAAGGGTGTTTCTGTTACTCAATAGCTACTATTGGGCAACTATTCACATGCCAAATTAAACAATTTGTGTATTTCTCATCAGGCCGAATGGTGCAATGTGGAGCTTCCAACTGTAATTGTCCACAGTCTCTCTTCTGGCGTTCTTTATCACGGGCTATTAAGAAGGCCCATTGCCCGAAACGTCACCTATATTATATTTTTCCTCTGCGGGCCACAGTGTTATTGATGAACATGTTGAGTTTGTTTGTTAACAGGTTATATATATATGTTTGAAAGAAAATTGCATTCATGGATTCTCACAAACATGACGCCTTTCCCCACGATCCTTAGGGATCCATGGGGCATTTATAATGTGTAGGCTTTCATGACGCTGACTTTTTGGCCTTTGGTTCCGCAAGTTTCATGTGTTTTTGTACACTCCCCCCACCCCCGCTCACAGCCAACAAATAAAGTTGCCACGTGAAGAAACGTGCCAACTTATTAGTGACTCGGCAGCACCACAATAAATCTGATATATCTGGCACCTGCCTGATATTGCTGGTTGTAACTACCAGGGTAACGTCTGTAAACTCAATGTTGCGGATCGCTCTCCCCCACACGCCCGGTGGGTGCTGTTGAAAGCCGTAATAAATTGGCACGTTTGTTCATGGCGTGACACATTTATTCCTTGGCTGCGTCGGGTGGAGGAGGGTGTACGACACACATTTTGCTTCTTGCGCGGCGATTTCACCCAAATATCAATTACGATCCATAAGTGTGTGGGGGGGGGGGGGTGTTTGTATTTGCACTCGTTCCGTGCATGTTCTTGCGTACGTGCCAGTTCACGAGTTTGTGTGGCCGAATCGCATAGTGTTGCTTTCCAATAAACGAAAAAGAATCTTCAGTTTTCAAATTGACGTGAGGATTCTGCTAATGTTTGGCTGGCAACTGCTATGCCAGACAGACCAGTAGAGGGCACTGGTTCTCCTTGGAAAATAAAATCCACTGGAGACAAAAAAATGCATATATAGTGGGTCCACGAAGACAAGATAATGCTGTACTTTATAACTCCAAGCCATAACATGGTAAATTATTAATTCTTCCAAGATCATTAGCAGATTTAGCAAGCGAACATTTGACTGCAAATGAAAAGCATTTTTTTTTTCAAGAAGGATGGAGGGCCAGTTGAAACGAATTATTCGCCGAACAAGACGCTCAAGCGAAAATCATTTCCGATAGCTGTAAAAAAAAATGTACACAATTCCGCCGAACGTAATAATTGGCCTGTTAATGGCCGCGCCACCCCTGAGAAGGAGGGCGAGGCGTTTAGCGGCGCCTCGCACCACCACGGCCGAGCATTAGGCAAATGGACGGCTCACGCAATCGATGGCAAAATAAATGGAACCAAGCCCCGTTGGTCCACGCACGGCCGCGCATCATTTACCCTCCGTGGCTTCCGCAACGATCGCGCGTGTGCGCGCGTGCGATAGATTAATAATCTTAACACAAATACTCCCAAGTAAACCGATAATAGTTTGTTAACAGACGACATACGGCAGTGCGCCCAGGTCGCTTGGCGGAAGATCCGTATGTCGGTGGTTCGGTCGGCCCATCAACCCCCCCGAGGTCGACAGATGAATAACCACTCTGTGGGTGAAGTCAACGGTGGTTGCCCTTTCGATAAACTCGCCCCTGCCATAGGAAAGTGGAAATTCCACCACTGGCTCAGCAATGGAAACAGGGGATGACCACTGCTTCAGTGCTCATAAGAAATAACGTTTGTTTACGTGTACACATTAAAACCATGGTGCCCTTTGTGCATACGATTGTACATATATTAATGCACGTGTGTGTATATACTTGACGGCTCAGAATAAAATGAGCACCTGGTGCGGTGTGTAAACATCACCACAGGACAAAGGTGGCCGGGCGTGGTGCTGGCTACCCACCCTCTCGTGCGCTGTGACGGCCTTCGCTAACTGCACTTTCCCCAGCGGTCTGTTAAAGACTTTCTGGGGTTCTTTGTCTCCGTTTATGTACTTGTGTGCGTATGTATTCGGAACAGGAACTGAAAGAGTTTTTGAGTGTATGGGTGTGCGTGTCTTTGCACGAACACACACTTGGGGTACACGCATACGGTATTCCGGTTTGTCACGCGCATATTTTGAGTGCATGCACACGTGCGTGTGCGTACCCACGGACTCCTCAGCCTCAAAACGAGTACCTGGTGCGGCGTGGGAACACCGCCACTCGAGAAACAAAGGTGGCCGCGCGTGGTGCTGGCCACCCACCCCACCTCACGTGCCGTGCCGTCCTTCTTTGGGTGCTACTCGCTAACAGCACTTGCTCCTACAGTATGTTAAGGCGACACGGGGGATTCTTTGTTGTCTTTGTATACCACAGTATACACTTGTGCGTCTGTATTTGAAACAGGAACTGAAAAAGCTCCCAGCACGGGGAGCGAAAAGCGGTCGGTGTTATATCCTTTATAGCAAAAAAATCCAGTGCCTCCATGCTCATTTTCACACTGGGTTAAGGCTGTAAACTCATCTAGTTTAATTCCAACTACGTGGTAGTAGACATTCCACATTCCTATGGTGGGGGCCAAGTCTTTCCAAAGGATCAACAACCCCAGTGGTGGAAATATTAAAGGCGTACAAGAAGAGGAATGTCTCAGTCCTGGACTTAGGCGATGGGAGTCTGCGCAGGATTCTCACCACGCGCTACCGCAAAGACCTACACGCGGTGGGACTTGGGTCGTGAAAATTCCATCCCTTGCTCACGTGCAAGTCCGCGTGCGCGCGTTCGCGGAGCAGAAGCGCGCGTGCACGTCGCGCCAGCCGTGCGCCAGCAGCGCAGAGGGGACCGCACGTCGTGCCGCGTCGCGCCGGCAGGAAGGGGCTCTTGACCCCCCGACCGCCCGCAGACGCTCGGTCCGCGCAGCCGTGAATCGATAGCCCTCCCAGCGCCGGCAACACCCCGGCGGCCGATCAATACTCATCTAAATGTAAATGCGGAAAGATCCCTCACCCGGCTGCTATCTCTAACGCTGGGGGTGCCCTCTCTCTCCCTCCGCCGGCCGGCGCGCGCGCTTATCTCCCCGACACTAGCGCGCATGGCAAAATTACTTTCTGGCACAGCGTTTCCCCGATAGCCAGATAAACGGCGACACTCCACCGCTGGGAAATACATCTCCCCTAATACACTCCCCCGCGCGTAGGCAGAATTCCGATGGTGGAGGAAAAAATAAGAAAAAATTAGGCGTAAATTTAGATGCCCTAAACGTAATTACTTAGGCCCAAGCCTGTTGCTGCCAGACGAGTTAAGGCAGCGCATTAACTCTGTTAACCCTGTAATGCAGGACCAGCCTTGAGCTGTTATGCAGGCTTGGATTCCCAGGTAACCACCGTTAAATTTGATGTTTTTGGACAAAACTCCAAGTTGATGTAATGCGAGCAGAGAATTCAGATTGCATGGTGTGAGACGGGTTAGATCTGACCATCTCAGCAAAATTATTATAATGACGGTGGTGATGACCACCATTGATGATGGTGGTGGTGGTGATGATGATATCGATGCCCTCGCAGCAAACAGCTTTGCCGATTGAGCTACAACCCTGGCCTTTGATCTAGAAATAAACAACGCTAATCCAATTAACACCAAAGTTGTATACACAATCAATAACTAGATGGTGGTGAGGGGAAAAAAATTTGCTGGAATAATTTAAACGGGACAATTTTCCAAACGCTGTTAAAACCCACGCACGATCGTCTCCAAGTGAGGCACACGAGGCGAGATGAATAATTCGTCGCCACAGTCACGAATCCATTTTACA